TCGGCCAAGCAGAGCTCGTCTTTCCCATTCCTTCGTTCTTGCGTTATTTCTACTGTCATTTGAGGCAAAGTTCGCAATCAAGGCCAAACAGAGCACCTTCTGCGCCCAAGAGAGCCAAGACCTGTAAGTGGATTTCGCCATTTCTTCTCGTCATTGTTGAAAAACCTAAGGTACATGCTCGGTACCGCTCAATACATGCTCGGTACTGCTAGGTACATGCTCGGTACTGGTCGGTACATGCTCGGTACTGGTAGGTACATGCTCGGTACTGGTAGCTACATGCTCGGTATTGGTAGGTACATGCTCGGTACTGGTAGGTACATGCTCGGTATTGGTAGGTACATGCTCGGTACTGGTCGGTACTTGCTCGGTACTGCTCGGTATTACTAGGTACATGCTCGGTACTGGTAGGTATATGCTCGGTACTGCTAGGTACATGCTCGGTACCACTCGGCATTTTCACATACAGGTTGAACCCCGCCAGGGGGCAGCGCACCCTTGGACCCCCGGCAGATCGGTATATTGTTTTATTCATGTTGTGATTTTTTTTTTATTTCACTTCATATCAATTTAATTCGATGTATTCATATGCATGATTGGTTTGTTAGCAAAATGAGCTCGGCTGCTGGCGGGAGTGGATTAGGTGAAGGTTCAAAAGAGCCATCTGTAGAAACTGATTAGCCATTATGGATTCATATTACAAAGTTAGGAAAAAACATTTGAAGGAGGGAATGTGTCATTCAAATGCAATTATTGTGGTGGCACCTACAAAAGATCTTATTCTAGGGTGAAGGCACATCTACTTAAAATTTCTGGCCATGGAATAAAAATGTGTTCTAAGATTACTACGTTGCAGTTGATTGAATTGAACAGACAAGTTGATGAAGCTGAATCTAGGATCCAATGGACACTCCCTAAAGAGGTACCTTTGCCATCTACTCATGGCTCATCTCACACTTCTTCCTCATCTGTGAGAGTTGATCAAGGTTTATTCTTTAGAAGTGAAGGATATGAAACAAAGAAAAGAAAAGGAGTAGCCAGTAGTCCTCTAGAGAAGGCTTTTAATTTGCAGCAGCGAGAGGAATTGGATGGTGAAATAACAAGGATGTTTTTTTTAGTGGGACTTCCTTTCAACCTTGCAAGGAATCCTCATTATAAAAATGCATTCATTTTTGCATGTAACAACAACCTCGCAGGTGCAGCAAAGAATACAGAGGCAAATGAAATCATTTATGCTGAATGTCATTGGATAACAGTGGTTGCAGATGATGCTGTTCTGATCAGAAATTTTATTATGAACCATTCTATGAGACTTTCAATGTTTAATGATTTCTCCCACTTGAAAATGCTAGCTGTTGCTGAAACTCGTTTTGCCTCTGTAATAATCATGTTGAGAAGATTCAAGCAAATTAAAAATGCTCTTCAATCTATGGTGATTAGTGAGAAGTGGTCTTGCTATCGAGAAGATGATGTTGGGAAGGCAAGGTATGTTAAAGAAAAGATCTTAGATGATTTGTGGTGGGATAATGTAGACTACATTTTGGATTTCACTGATCCAATCTATGATATGTTGAGAGAGGCTGACACAGATAAATCATGTCTACATTTGATTTATGAGATGTGGGATTCTATGTTAGCAAAAGTGAAAGAAATTATTTACAGACATGAAAGAAAGTCACATGAAGAAGACTCAAATTTTTGGAGTGTTGTTTATACCATTCTTGAGGATAGGTGGAGCAAAAGCAACACACCTTTGCATTGTTTGGCTCATTCATTAAATCCAAGGTACATTCATATTCATCTTTTAAATTAATTTAAATTTCTTAGTTAATGAACATGTAATTTATATGTTTTGTATTATTTGAAGGTATTCAAGTAAAGAATGGCTTCTAGAAGACCCTCAACGTGTCTCACCACAAAAAGATTTAGAAGTTTCAAATATGAGAAAGATATGCCTAAAAAGATATTTTCCAAATGATGAGAGAAGAAAAATTAATATAGAACTTGCAAAGTTCTTTGGATATTTAGAGGATTTTGGTGATCAAGAATCTTTGGTTGATAGATGGAGGATGGATCCAAAAATGTGGTGGTTGATTCATGGAGCTTCAGCACCGCTTCTTCAAACAATAGCAATAAAACTTCTTGGTCAAGTATTATCCTCTTCCTGTTGTGAGAGAAATTGGAGCACATACTCATTTATCCAATCAATGAAGAGGAATAAAATAACTCCACAACGTGCTGAAGATTTAGTTTATGTGCATACAAATCTTCGTCTTCTATCAAGGAAAACCCCACTTTATATGACAGGTGATAACAAGATGTGGGATGTTGCTGGAGATTGGTTCGAGTGCCTTGATGATATGGGATTATTGGAGGTTGTAAATCTTTCTCTAGATGAACCAGAGTTGGAAGCAAGATGAACCAGAGTTGGAAGCAATGATATTCAATGATGATGATATTGAAGGTCAAAGACCAACATCTGAATCTAATTTTATCATTCTCTCTATTGAGTAGTTAGACCTTCATGTTGTATTAAATGATTTTTTGCTTATATTTTTGTGTTTGTACTAGACATTTTGTACTAAACATCTTTATGTTATAAGCTAAACAAGTTATCATGAATTGATTTATTATTGCTTGACATTTTTACTATAATGTTACCTTAATTTTTATATATTATATTAAAAAATTATTATGCCGTGTCCACGCCGCACCCGTGTCCTATATTTTTAAAAATTGCCGTGTCCCGTGTCCGTGTCGTTTCGTGTCCGTGTCGCCGTGTCCGTGTCGGTGCATCATAGATATGAACTTATTCTACTAAATTTAAGCTTGATATCTTTTAAATATTTTCTCTATTTCTTTAACTTTTATTTATTTTTTAGGAGTGTTCATCAATTAGAATCATGCTGACATATACACCCAAACATCTCACTTTGAATATTTATCATACATCTTGATAACTTATAAAAAATATTTAATTAATGCAAATTCTTTATTGTAAATCTATTTTTATTGAAAAATTTTTAATCACTGCACTGCTTCTAATACTAGTTAATACTCTATTATACATGATTTTAATAACCTAAACATACTTCTGACACATCTTTCTTTTTTAATGTTCATTAAATCAATTCTTTTGTACTCAATTATGTCTTCTTATAATGAATAAAAATATATGATGATTATCTATTCAGCTAATATTTGTTGATAATAAAAACATATAATGTTGAGTCAGACTACTTAGAGTGCCCGTTAATGAAACTTACGAAAGTCTTGAGAATTAGGATGCATGATGACTCAGATATTAATGTTTATTAATCCAGCTAATATGATGATTAATGTGTTTTCATGTAACGAAAAACTTGGTTTTAACAGAATAGTTAATGAGCAAGTCAACAATTGAACTTTTTAATATAAATAAGCACTTTTTAAGCCCAATTGATAATAAAATAATCATAATTTTTTGAGAATTTAAGAATTTTAAACAAATAAAATCAGCAAAAAAAAAAAAAAGACTTAGTTTTTGACCAAAATTAGGAGTATTAAACTAGTTTGAAGAAATAAACAAGGAATAAAATTAGCGTGTTGAAAAATATAAAAAAAGTCTGGCCTTTTATCAATACAAGCATATGATTTTCGCTGGAATTAGATAATCACATTTACTTTCTCACTGCTTTACCTTTTAGACTATAATTAAAATTCTGTTTGCTATTGCTTTCTTGTTACTTTCCAGAAATATCTGTTGTTCGTAGCTATTTTTTATAACCAGAGTTGCAAATGTGTGGTTACTTTAAGAAACTAGATGGTTTGATTTTTTTAAAAGGAACATGTTTATAATATCCATAGTAGATTTCAAAAAGTTATTTTTCTCACAACAGTTTTATAAAACTACGCAATTGTCTCAAACAAACCCTAATTATGATTGAAAATTTTAGGATATTAATTGAATGGCCAAACGACGTCCAATTCTTTCATGTTTATGGTCAAATCGAGCAACTTGATGAGACGAATCCAATAAGCTCAAGATCATTCAATTCTAAGATCATTAAGTCACTCAAATATTTAATAAATAGTCTATGATCAAATAATTCAATATGAATCTTGTAGTTTCGAGCCTAGAGCTTTAAGCTAGACAAAGACTTGAAATTAGATAGAGCTTGAAAATCCGAAGAATTTTAAAGCTCTATTCGACATTCGACTACTATTGTCCAACCACCGTCTTCTAATAGTTGTCATCTGACTGCCAACGACTGACTCTTATAGTTTATTTATCATTGTCATATGAATGTCATCATCGAACTGTTGTTACCTGACCACCATCAACTAATCATTGTTATACGACCAACATTGTTTGAGCATCATTGCCCACCTAACATCATTCAATTGGTGTCATTATTCGGTCACCCTATCTTCGAGAATCTCTACTACAACTGCAAGACACAAAGCAAGTGCTCCAAATTTTGTAATCCCACTTATCCATTTGCGGGGAAGATTATATTTTTTGTAACTTTAAGTATATAGTGGATTATTTCAATTGGGTTAGGCACCACGATTTTTTTTTCTTATAAAAATTTTAATGTCTCATGCATTTTTATCTTTTATCTCTCTGTGTGCTAGATCTTCATGCAAAATTGGGATGTAAAACTCTCTCTCTATCATTGTGAATTTTCTAGCACTCAATAATATAATATTGACATATAAAATGAAGGAAAATGACATCATTTAAAAAAATATATATATATTTACTCATGTAAAAGCAACCAAGTCCTTAGTTGAATTTAGATATTATGGTGTCTATTGTCAAAACTTGTAGTTCATTAGATATTTATAATATCTATTTATGGCGGTTTTTAAAGTGATACATGATGACTATGTTGTTTTTTTGCTGTTTTAATGCGGATCAATCTCTGGAATTCTCGGAAAAGATTGCTTATGAAAATTATCCATATTACTAACCAATTGGATATCTTCAATCATGAATTCTGTTTTTCTCTGTGCAGGCTATTGCTTCTCCTCGGGAATTCTTGCTGAATAAAGTTCCATTCCCTTTGCCAACTCCAGTTATATTCAATCTGGATCATATCAATGCACTTACAATGGATGCAGTAGTATCCGAAAATGGTTCGTATCATTAAAAAAAAAAAAACAATTTTTTTTTTGGTCTTCACATCTCCATCACCCTTAAGCATATAATGGTCTTCTTTCAGCTTTGACATTCAACGATCTTGGCATAGTTCCTCGCAAACTGAAAGGATACCCAGTGGAGTTCCTCTCTTCTTATCGCAAGGGCGGTCCTTCTTTCGGTGCTACTGTTAGTGAAAAAATGAACAGCTCCGACATTTAGAATTTGTGTCTGCCTTTCTGGTTTCTTAAACATAAAGAGCTATGGATTTGTTATCTTGATAATCTACCCTACTGCCTATGAGAAAAGCATCTGCTGCTTCTGCTTCTTCCAATGGTAGCTGACTTCTATTAGCTAAGGAAGCAATTTATGCTTCGTTTGGGACGGCTTTCTTACTGCTTCTTAAAGCGATTTTTAGTACAAAAATTTTAATTTTTGTATTAGAAAGCAGCGTTAAGAAGCTGTTAAAAAGCCATCCCAAATGGAGGTTTAATTTTCTGTAATAAGCTGCGCGCATCTTGAGATTAGTGGCGATTATTTCTTTCTTCCATTAGCTGAAATCAATGTGTAAACCAGTTGATTCATGGTGAATCTGCTTGGGCAGCAGGCTCTTCTATCCTGACATGTATTTTTTTTCTTTTATTCAGTTTCGGCTCTTTTGATTGCTGCTATTGTTTTTATGACTATTACGATAAAGAGAAAGTTGATAAAAAATGTTGGTTTGATCGTTATGATTATAGGCCATTTGACTTGTTTGTCTGTGGTTTTATGCCTTCTGAAACTTAAAGAAGTTGTGTTTTTTACTTGTGATTTATCTTTTTAATATTTCAATCTTATTACCTTTTAAACAATACCTACTTAACCCCTTTGGATTTGAGTTAGGATGAAGTGTACTTTTATGTTTTCTCATGGTTGAAATAGACGTGTTGCGGGTTAGAATATACATGACATTGGAGAAAATTTTTCGTCTTAGTGTTGCATGATATATAGTGCACAATCAGAGAAAGATAAAACATTGAGATTTTAACATAAAAATTTCTGAAAAAAAAATGAAAAAATCACGGGGTCATGCCCAGTTGAAATGATTCAACTAAATTTGAGTGAGTTGTAAAGCTTGACTAGTCCAACTGTTTCTTAATTTGGAGACGGTGAAATTATAATAGTTTGGAGAGTTGGGCGGAAGTTTGACAATGATAGGTGGCCAAGTGGAAGTTTGGCGATGGTCAGTGACTATGAAAAAGTTCGATGAAGGTCGGTGGTCGGGTGAAAGTTTGACGTTCGGTGGGCAGGTAAAAGTCTAGCGACTATCAGTGGTGGGGCGAAAGTCTGACAACGGTTGGCGGTTGGACAAAAACCTGATAATAGTCGGTGGCCAAGCGGAAGTTTGACGATAGTCGGCTATTGGGCCGTGATCGAGTAGCTTGGTGCACGTGCTCCCCCCTCCTTCCCCCACACACAAAAGCAAGTGTTTAGTATTTTTGATGCCCTTTTTGCCTCCATGCGCCCAGTAGCACCAATTTTTCATGTTCCCTCTAATGCCTTTTATTTCTTGCACTAAAATTTTCACACCATAAGCTATCTCCTACGGCCTACACTCTACAAGTCTAAACTTCACCTCTCAGCTCACCCAGGTTTTGTTTGGAATGATTTTTTTATCGTTTTTTAAAGCAACTTTTTAGTATAACAATTTAAAATTTTCTATTAAAAACTCGTTTTAAGAAGCAGCAAGAAAACCGTCCCAAACGAAGCATCAGTCGCAGCAGTAGTAGCAGAAGCAATATTTTAAGAATTTTTCAATATCTTACTAACACCTATAAAGAAATCCAAAAAATTAGGCTCCTACGAAAAGTTTTTACCCCTGCAAGATGGTTAATAAAACAAATTTTATGATGAGTTTAAACAGAAGGTGATATTACCAAAAATTTCTCTAAAATTTGATGACTACAAACACAACGAGCACTCTAATCACGAGTAAAGACGAAGAAATGCATATATATCATGAGGTGAAGACAATAAGAGGAATTGAGAGCGGTTGGGTCCTAATCGTCTTATCGTGGCTCGATTCAGCACATAAATATAAAATTACAATTATAAACTAAAATATTTTCACTTAAAAAATAATAAATAACTTTAAAAGTATACATTTTACTAGTCTGTGTTGCACTGATACGGATACGGCGACACAGATACGACACGATACGGATACGGGACACGTCAATTCTTAAAAATACAGGATACGTGTACGGCGCGAACACGACATTATAATTTATAAATCATACAAAAAAATTAAGAAAGTAATCAAAACATGATATTTGAAATTACAAAAAAAAAAAAAAAAGACAACAACATCATTTGTAGCCTTGTAGCTTATAATATCAAAATATAAGTAAGTATTAAATATCTAGCACAACAACAAAAGCATAAACATAAATTATCTAGCACATGAAGTTTCAACTATTCAATAGAATGAATGATATAATTATCTTCTTCATTGATTTGTCTTTGAACTTCTATATCATCTTTAATAAATATCATACCTTCTAATTCAGGCTCATCAAGTGAAAGATTAGTAATTTTTAATATTTTCATATCATCAAGAGACTCAAATCCATCTCAAAAATGAGAGAATCTTGCTCGCAACCGTGGAAGTAAATACGACACATCTTTTTTTCGGATTTTTTTTTTGTTTTTCAACGGACACGCGTATCGGATACGCGTGTCCTTTTAAAATTAAATAATATTTTAATTGGATACGGCTTTGACGTATCCGACACGGATCGGTGGAATATTGAAGGCGTATTCGTGTATCGATGCATCAGATACAACACGCCTTTATAAATTGGTGTATCGGTGCAACATAGTTACTAGTAAATAGGACAAATTTCAAAAAAAATTATGATAACAATATATTTCATATTGAATGATGCCTAAAGACACTGTACTTTAAAAATTATGCTATCTTCTCGTATAATTAAAGCACATCAATCAATTTATTGGTGCATTTTATAATTATTATTGACCTGTCTTGGTAATATAATAAGTGTTTGATTTGATAATAAAGAAAAAAAATTAAATAAAATTAATATATATTTTTTTTCAGTTCATTAACGGAACCGGTTCATGTTAGGCGCCGAACCGTCGTGGTTTACCTGCCAAAGGCATGTCACGTCACGTGAGGCTCACGTGGCGAGAGAAAAAATAGTTGGCAAACTGTTTCCGTAGCGCTCCGCCATCGTCGATGCCGCCTCCATCGACGCTCCGCATTTAATTTTCTTCCGCAAGCTCCGAGCTTTTCCCCATTCTCTCCGCGACACCACGATAAAATCCAACAAAATTAATAATAATTAAGTAAAATTAGAAAAAAATTAGTAATAATCCCTCAAAATCCGAGGTCTATTCCATTTTCCCAATCCGCCTCTCCTTGTCGAAATCGGCGATTGATCGATGCAGGTATTTCCTATTGATCCATTTGCACAACTTCTTTCATTTTAATCTCGCATTTGTTTGGATTCGGATCGGTATTTCGGAATCTATTCCTGGATGTTTTTGAACCATTCAGTTTTTTTATATGGAATAGGCGCTAAATAAGAATCTTTCGTTTCCGTCTTGCTGAATTTGTGTATCATCCTCAGAGTTTTTCAGAAATTTTCTTATTGATTTATTGGTTCACTGCGTTGAATTTTGGCTTCCAGGACGAAAATCGACCAATCGACCGCTCATCCTTTTCAGGGTCAAGCTTTTTTGTTGCGGTCATGTGAAGGTAAGTTGCATTCAGCTATTTTAGTTTTCCCCAAATTGTCTTAGTCTAAATCTTGAGATTAAAGAAGAAAGTTTCAATATATATTTTTTTCTTTCTTCGTGGTCATAATCCAGCTTGGCCCATAGATTGGGTTGACTATTTTTATATGATTCGTCATATCTGAAAATAAAATTGAAATTTAAGGGAGATATGAGGCATTCAGATTATTCTAGCAGCATCTTCTTAATTTGAGCTCCCAACACAAAACTTACTCGAACAATGCAACTACTTGTGTTATTGTCTTATGGAAATAGATCTGTGTGCTATTGAGAATTGGAGATCCCATGGTTTTTCAGTACATTGAGAGGCTGGTGATTGCATCTAATTCAGAAAAATGGATGGCGGGGTTGCTAATCCTTCTGTGAGTAATTCTGCACTTTACTATGTTCCTAGTGCATCTGGAAGGACGCCTTCAGAAAACAATTTGTGCGACATGACTGTTCAAACTGGGGAAGATCGAGTAACAGGAGGAAACCCTATTAGAACTGGATTTGACTATGGTTATATGAAGAGAATGGGATTCAATGTCAAACATAATCCATGCCCTGGTTATGAAGATCACACCAGCAATTTCGGACTCCGAAGAATAGAATCTGATTTTAGATGTGATGCTTCTTCTTGTTTTTTTCCCAGGGTGATTGCTCTTGAGGTCAATTCTAGGGGTTATATCGATACAGCAAGCACAAATTTAGCTGGGAATAATGAGAGAATCAGTGATAATCAATTCAATGACTCTGGCAAATGCTCTTCTTCTGACCCTGTTCATGGCTGTAAGACCTGTACTTACATGCGTGGAACCTTGGAAAGCCCACATTCTGGGAAGGTTAAGTTTCTATGCAGCTTTGGTGGAAAAATCCTGCCGAGACCTGGTGATGGGAAGTTGAGATATGTCGGTGGCGAGACACGGATTATTTCCATAAAGAAGGATCTTTCATGGAAGGAACTTATGCACAGAACTATTGATATATTCAGTGCACCACATATTATTAAGTATCAGCTCCCAGGGGAAGACCTTGATGCTCTTATATCTGTTTCATCAGAAGAGGATCTTCAGAACATGATGGATGAGTATCATGCAATTGACAAGGCTGATGGATCCCAGAGGCTCAGAATATTCCTCATCCCTTTTAATGAATCCGAGAGTAGCTCTTTAGATACAATGGGCTTGCAGTGCAGCTCTGAGTATCAATATTTTGTTGCTGTAAATAATATAGCGGATCGTAGTCCTAGGGAAAGTTCAAGTGGAAACAGCTTATCGAGCCAAGTAGGATACCAGTTAGATAAATTGGTTCCCAAAGACTCTCATTTTCTTCAAGTTGATACTATGGATGGTGGTATTAGCATGCAAAAGGACACTGGGATATATGACCATCATAATAATTCTAAGCCCTTAGTTTGTTTTCAAATTGCACCCAGCTCACCCATCCATTCCCCACCTTTTTCTCCAAAACTAGGGCAGCAGAGAGAAATAAGCCATTCTCGGAAACAGTCATTTAAAGATCATTTCATTGCAGACCAATCATCTGAAAACCAGTATGATTTGAATAGAGGTTATCTAATGAACGTGGATGTGTCAAGCTTTCATTCTAACATCCATGGTGGTGTGGAAATGCAAGTTAGACAGTCTGGGCCTCAATTTCCAAATAAAAAAGATGCAGAGAGTGACAGTGAATCAGCTGGGCATTCTTTACGTGAGAAGTCTTTCCTTCAGGAAAAGCTTTTTAATTTTGAGAAATTTATAAAGGAGCAGGAAGATTCAGTAAGTTGGGTCGCAGGCTCAAATGATTCAGGAAGCTCAATTCAAGTCATGCCTCATGCATTTTTAGATCCCTTGCTTCATGGTATCGGTGAAAGAAATATTTCTGGTTTGAGGGAATCTAATGGCTCTCATTTGGAATTAAAAAATTCAGCGATTTCTCGGAATTCTTTTCAAAGAAACACGCAGGAAGAAACACCGTGTTTCAAGCACATGTTAATTAATAATCGCTCGGATATTTTATCTGAACTACAAAGGACAGCATTGACGCCCTCTCACATGAGAGCCGAATTCTCAATACATGGTAATTCTGCAGAATCTTGTGGAAGAAATGAAGCAGAAAGTTCTTTTCAACTTGCTGAAAATACAAGCGCAGAACCAATCAAGAGGGTCAGTTCTGGTGAACTAGAATATCTCGTGAAACACGATTTGGATGGTTCTGCTTCTAATTGGCCGGATGAGAAGGGAAACCATCTTCCCCAACCAATGAAGTATTGTCAGAAAAATAATGATGTGACATCTCATACTAACAGTCAATTACAAGATTATGATTACAACTTCGGCATTGTCCATGGTTATGTTCTTTCATCGCCAGTTGTAGAGGTAGTGGAGAGTTGTCTTCCAACATATTCACCCTTTTCCCCCTGCATCGATTTAGAGAAGGCCAAACAACTCTCTTTGGGAAACCAATTTGATGGAACTGTATCTGAAGATCATAGAAACTTTTGCTATCAGAGTCATGGTTCATTGGAGGCGAGGAAGAGCAATCTCATCGACGTGGACAATATCAGGATGACATTTGCACCTACTGCTTCAACTACTGGGGATTCTTCCCAAGTTCTGATGCCTAAAACAACTGTAGAAAGGAAGGATGAGAATATTATTCTTGTTGATAGACACGGTGAAAGAAAGGATTATGGCGGGCAAGGAATTGACAGTAATGGAAACGCAGGTCCAACTCTCAGGATCAATGAGGGCAGTAAAACCCTTGTTTTTCAGAAATCAGAAAATGATCAAGTTTCTAGGCAGACGTTTTCACTGCTTGATCAGGACATGGTGAATTACTGTGAGCCAGGACCTAGAAATATTGAACTTGGAAACTCTGGTAATGAAACAGTAAGGCCAGAACAGGCGGATCCTACGTCAAATATGCACCATAATGGACCTGTGGAGGCTTTGATTACTGTGGAAGATGTAACTGATAGGGTACCTTTTGGTGTCCCAGTTGCATCAAGCATTATACCCCATGTAATAGAGTATAAAACGGAAGAAGAAGAAGAATTGGAAAATCCTTCTCGAAGGGTAGCAAGTGCCAATAGTACTCCTCGATCTGAATGTGAGGTAATTTTTCTTAATGTTTAGCTTTAATAATTTCAGATTTTCATATATCATTTTCTCATCAGTACTTGTGCAACAGGATGTTGAAGATGATGAAATTGATACTGACGGATCTATGAGTGATGCTGCAATTGCTGAAATTGAAGCTGGCATCTATGGTTTGCAGGTTTGATTTTGCATAACCTGGATGTGATTTTTTGGTTTATTTTCTTGTGGTAATGCAGCTCTAATTTCTATGATGACAGGCTAAATTATCTCTGCATTTTTAATATATGCATGACGTTCTGCAAATTAGGTGCTATTAGCATTGTTTATGTGCATCTGCCTGTGAGCAATTGGGAACTATTTTTCTGCTGCCTTTCAGAAATTCCGACACTTTTTTTAGACTTTGATTGTTGTTTATATACCGAGCCATTTGGCTAAGGACTTTAGAACTCAGAATGACAATTTGGATAGATGAGATGTCTTGTATGATATTTCTTCTCTGCTGTAAAGCCAGCATATTATGACAGCTCTGGGTGGAGTGATTTATCTTCCAAAAATATAATCGGGCCAAGAATATAAAATTCCCTGACATCCAAATTCCCGAAAAATTATAACAATTAATCTAAGAAAGAACATAAGGATCTGATAAATTGAATAAATGACTTTATAACTTTAATCACCTTACCAATATGTTTACAGGTCTCTCTTCTAGGTTGCACAAATCGTATCCTGAAAACTATAAAATTAATCTTCTTCTTTTTAGGAAATAAAACTCAATAGGGGAAACCTATTGGCTTAGGTATAAACAGCAAGACATAGGATATTCAATATGACCAATAAGAGTGGAAATATAACTAAGCATATTATCGTAATAATTATAATCATTGCATCGGATTAGATAAATCTTGTATAAAGGAAGTTATTATGCCATACCATTTATAAGAAATCATTTCATAGTGTCAATCACTACATTCAATAGTAAACATCCACTTGCATGCATACCATATTTATAGTTTAAAAAATGACTAATCAATCAGTCATTATTATACCTTTAATACATAGTCGACCATTTATAATACCATAAACAAGAGAAATATTTTCACCCACCTAGAGAAGACTAATGATCCCTAAGACAATTGCCATTCTATGGACCAATTTGCCCAGCTAGTCATTGTCAATCATATCAACAAGAGAGGCTGCTGACATTCATGTCCATCATGCATATATAAGTAAAAATTATATAAATATTATATCACGAGCAATGTGTTATAATAAAGACTATAATCATTATGATCAAAATTTGTTATATATCATTGGAGTCCATGATTTTTATGAGAAGGGTTTATTTCTCATTAGTCAAAGCCATACACATAAGCATCATAACAATTTATGCAATAATTGATATGCATAGCTAACTTAACAACACATTATATCAATATGAACAAAATAATCATTTTATATTGATAAATTTTATTTTATAATATATATTTATAATCAAATTAAGCCTATAACAAGTGTCAAGGAAGGCAAATTTATGCTTTAACAAATAAAGAATTGCCTATCTAGAGTTGACCATAGGAAGTTTGGCATACTTTTCATGAATCTGATTTACCTCACTCCAACACGTGGTGCTTCATACACCTTAAACTAAAAAGATTCTTGATCAACTACAAATTTAGTACATTGAATACCAATAGTTTAAACAACCAAAAATTTGATTTATGCATATTCTTATTAAGTTGACTTCGCTCTAAGAAATTACACATTCAACTTGCACAATTGAAACTGAAAATTGAAATTTATTTAAGCCAAAAATTTTGAATTATGCATTATGCCACAGTTTTTTGGCTCTTTATAACCTAGGGTAGTAAATAAGATGGCACTTGGTCAATCTTAATTTAAATTCAGATTAATCCTATACTAATTTTAAAATTTCCAAGAAAGTCCACTACAACCAATTAAAATTCATAAAACAACTGCCAACACACATATGCACCCTTTCAGTTTTGGGATATAGATGGAAATCCCACACATGCTTATCCACAAACTAGAAATGAAAATTCTGTCTATATTGAACCATGCAATATTAAATATCAATAAAAATACATATGAGAACTTAGCTAGAATTGAAATGGGAGACGAAAATTTCAAATATACACAAGAATCACAAGCCACGACCCTGCCATTTTTTCTTCTTCTTCTTAAACTTTTGAAAATAAATAAGACTAAGAATGTACCTCCCAAAGTACATCAACTTACCTTATAATAATATGTAGATATAATCTGTCTCACCCCACCATTGGGCTTGGAAGTAAATCACAAGAACCTAATGGGGGATTGCAACTTAAATTTTTTAGAAGTAATTCCAATTTGTAAAAATATATGATCTCAATAATTTGTATCAACCAATAAAATAATCAAAGCATTTAAATCCAAAACACCTACTAATTACTAAATATCTCAATTGCATTGAAACCTATATGATTAAACCCAAACACATCGTAGCAACAAGTTAACATTAAACCTATATGATTAAATGAGTACAATAACTAAACAAAAAAGACAATGAAAAGTCAAATGCCTAAATATCTCAATTTAATCTCTTAAACAAAATCAACTACACATACAAGATTTAACTTCTACATAGTTTCATTTCAAGGGCGTATAAAAAATTGCAGTTGTGTATAGAAATAACAAACATATATCCGCCTTGAAGCAACCATAAATGTACAAGGCAAGTTTGATGTTAGGGCTTACCTAAATCAAATTGATGAAAAGGAGGATGGTGTAAGAAGAAGGAGAAGGATAAGATATTTGTGCTTCTTCCCCTTTTTCCCTTCACTAGAACTCCTCCCCATCAGACTCGCTGGGCAATTGAGGCCATCAAATTAGCTAATCCACCAAACTGTGAAGCCGTCAACCACGATCAATCCTCTCTCTCTTACTAGCACATTGCATACATTGCATGTCATAGGAGGTTGATGTTGATCACCACCTCATTGATTGCCCCCTCAAACATTGAATCACAACCTCTCAATGCACTCACTTTTACAGTTGTTCTCTCTCTCACTCCGTCTCCCCACTTAAAGATCCCAATTAGAAATTAACGAATTGCATGAGACGGAAATTTTGTAACCAGGTTGGGGACACTTGGTTTGAACTGGCCTGGTCCAAAAAGAAAGAAAACGGTTATATAATCAATCCATCATAATCTCCCATTATGAGTATCAACCTAAACCAAATCATAATTGGCAGCATGCCAACCAAATAAGTTATCCTAAAGTTATGAAATAGCTTTATTGATATTACAACTCTTCTCAACCATCATCACTAACATGTCCTCAAAAATAACAAATAAAATAAACTAATTATGGAAAGAAACTAATTACTAAAAAAACAAAATTTTCACGGAAATTTATGCTTGATCTGATGCTTCTGACAAGTATAAATGCAAAGATTTCCATCACTATAGCTGCTTCAGATTATTTATTCTGTATTATTTTTGTTTTTTTTCCATCTTTTTTTTTTTTTTTTCCATTTAGCATTATTCTAAGCTCCACAAATTTATGGAATATTTCCTTTTAATTCATGAACTAATTTTCAATCGAGTAATGACTTTTGATCTCTTGAGTGACTGTTGAGATTGCTTGGATTAGAATATTACACGGATCACTATGCACAAATGACCCGGAATTGCCTGTAGGATTGTTGATTCCTTTATATCAACTAGTACTCTGCAATGTTAGTTTTGCAGATTTAAGACATTTTCATTTATGACTACTATTTCAAGTTTCTTTTAGATGATTCTTGTTTAAGAAAGGGAATTCAATACAAGTGTGTCTTCCATTCTTTTAGTTTTTTATATTCTGCTCGCTTTGTTAAATTATAGATTTCTTACCTTAATAGCACTGCTCTGTTAAACTTCTTATTTGTGCTTGCACTCTTTGGTTTTTCTCTGCTACTCCATGCCTTCTTATTGAAACTGATTTATGATGCTGATGCAGATTATAAAGAATGCAGACCTTGAAGAACTACGTGAATTGGGATCAGGTACTTTTGGTACTGTTTTTCATGGAAAATGGAGGGGAACAGATGTTGCTATCAAGCGAATCAAGAAAAGCTGCTTTTCTGGGAAATTGTCTGAGCACGACCGGTTGGTACGTGGAAGCACAATGCTGTTGATATATTCATATTTTTTCTCCATAAAAATTTCATATCTTAAAATGTCTGCTTATTTGAAATGGTATGTAAAATTACCATAAATCCTAAATATAGATTAAATTGTTCGTTATATAATAGTGAAATAAGGTCATCACTCATCACCGTATGGAGACTCAAGTCGAACCTATTTAGTAATCAGTCCTAGAAAGCTTTCACTCTTTGACTTGGAACAGGGATTTTTCATAATTTCTACATCTTTTTTATTTTATTTTGTGAACACACATCATCATCATCTCTGACTAAAAAATTTGGCGGGTATTGTGGTCAGATTTATATAAGGTATTTTCCATGACTAACAAGCATGAGCCATTTATTTCTTATTTGAAAAAAGGAATGAAAGTCTAATGGATGAAGAATAAGCTGTTCATAGAATAAAAGCATTATATTGTCAAGGAAAAAAAAGCTAGCAAAGATTCTTTTATCTTTCCTTCATGTCACTACCATATTCTTGCCACTGTTGAGATCATAAGTTGACATTAAATCTTCAGTCTACTTTTGTTTAATAATCATTTAGCTCTCCAAAGTTTTTTTTAAAAGGAAAATTTTATAACCAATCAATATAATAAGTACAACATTAGACAATTATTAAAAATTTTATATCCATTTCCTTAATGTCAATGAAATGCCCAAAGGCATTGATGACCCTGGAGGGACCCCGTAGAAGGACTTTAGGAATGATCATCAAACAACGTGTTGCTGGCAGCGACAAGCATACTTGACTCAAGAGAGCATGCCAGCAAGGGAGGAAGCACATGACCTTGGGCAAGCGAGCAAGGGCCATGATTGTAGGAGAGCATGGGCGGTAGCGCAGAGAGAGCAACCCATTCAATTTGGTCTAGAAATTGATCTCCAAAGGCATAGTTAAATAATAAATATCATATAGCCCCTTCCTCTGGTTAGCTTTTTCGTTTGTTACCTTTAAAACAAATCTTAGTTTCATCATTGACTAATAAAAAATTCTAGACTTTAGCTGCATGCATACGCATGTGACTATCTTCCTGAGGCACTTATCCAAAAAAAATTCAACTTTCGACGTTGTTAAATTTTAATTTTATTTTAAGACATTTAAATTTTTAGTATATTTACATTTAAAAAAAATTAAATATTTAAATGGTGAATAATGTATATATTTATTTTATTCATAAATAAATTAGGATTACATATCTTTTAAATAAGGACTAAAATGGTCCCCTGATTTTTTACAAAGGACCAAAATAGTCCACGATTATTTAAGCCCCATTTTAACCCATTGACTTTTTAAATATTTTTATTATTATTATTTTATATTATTCATAAATAATTTTTAATTATTTATATGTTAAAATTATTAGTTTAAATCTTAAATTATGCATGTAGCAGTGGTTTAGAAATCATTTTTTATTATTTTTCGAAGTTAACGATGAAAGTCCATTTGTTGAAACTTAGGGGCTATAAGATATTTAACTACATCTGAGGGTTGATTCATGCTACTTACCTAACTTACCTATCTATTTTTTCTTCAAGAAACTTGGGAGAAAAAATTACTAATTAGGAGGATTTTTTAACATAAACAACAAGCAAGCATTATGCACCACTTATATTTTACCAAATGTTCTGCGGGTGATTGCTTACCCTAAGGGAAAATTTTTAGGCTTAGACGCCATAACGTATGGCTACAATTGCAGCGGCTTGACGAACTTGTGAATATGCTTGCTCATAATCATCCTCTGGATATTCTAAATTTTCAGTTATGACAAATACAAATACAGAAAAAAAAATCATTCTTATAGCAGTCTGATACCAGAGAACATCTGATGTAAGTTTTCAAGGGACTTCCATAAATCTCAGTTATAAAATATTCCGCTTGAACAAAAATTTTCGTATTGGAGACGTGTTTTTTGTAGTTACTCTAGTTCATCTTTGAAGTGCCTAGTGCGCCTCGGCTACTCACATATGGCTGTTTTATGTTAAATATTGTACCTTTTTTATGCATAGCTAACTCTTCTTAGTAGCCAAGCCTTGTCATAGCTGCATAATCAAATAAGACCGCATAATCAAACTAACATGCATGTCCTGCAGTCATCAAGCTGTAACTCTTTATTTATTGAATATACATAGATGTTATGCAAGGTTCTACAGTCCAAAATTTAATTTTTAATGGTAAAAAATTATGGACTAGGCCCAAAATTTGTCTGATGAGTCTTATTATGAGTAAAACCACTATTTAGTTTTACTGGGCAGTTACTGCTGAAGATTTGTACTGAACAATTTAAAACACCAATTTATGTGCAGGAGTTCTATGTTGTGTACAGTGTTTTAATCCAACTTGTAAAATACGGTTTACGATTGTTCACATAAATTTGCAACATATCATAAACTATAGCATGGGGTCAATAGATAAAAGTTTAGCAAGACGATTTTTTTCCCAGGAGTTACAGCCATTGGTTTAGTTCCCATTTTATCGTAAAAATTTTCAACTTGAACCTATTTTGCTTATATGAAAATTTAGAGGTTGCATGAAATGAATATTGCTTGACTTTGATACTGCATTTGATGCCATGTGCAAATATCTGAAATTCATTTGGTGTACATGACTTTCATACGAAGTTAAGCAAAGGATTAAAATTTTGTTAATGAGGCCAGAAATTATTATCTTGAAAGTGGCTGTCAATCATGCCATATATGGGGAAAAAATTCCCGCAGGATGTTCCAAGGGAATTGTAAGGATGGATTTTTTTATTTTTGGATTTACATTGGGATGAAAACAAAACCTTTAGAACATTAAAACCATTTTATTGCATTAATCCCAATACAAATCTAAAGTTCAAAGATCAATTCTCACAATTTTCTTGGGACATCATGAGAGAGGATTTTTCCCGCTATATGGCTAGGCTTTAACGCAGAATTTTAGGTTTCATAGAAGCACTGCTAGATATTACTTGATCGACAAAGTTCATTGGCATTAGTTTTCATTTAGACCGGTCCATTGGACCGGTCCACGCGGGACTGGCCCGAGCATGACGAGGCGGATTGCCTCCGCCCCTTTTCCGCGACCGATCGCACTGCCAATGTCCACAGACCATTTTAGGAAGGATTTTTGAGGGATTTGGGAGGGAAATTTGAATGTAGGGACTGTTTAGGGATTTCCTTTTGATTTGTATGCATTAAATACTTTGTTTTCCTAGGGTTATGGCATCTTGAATTTGGCTGAAAATTGAGATCTCTTAGAATTAGGTTTTTCTTTGGGCTCTAGCGGCGTCTAGAGATTTGGGAGAGATCGATCCTCCTCTCGAATTGAGGATAAACTGTATCTTGCTATTTTTTTGTTTTCCTTTCATCAAATAATACAAATTATCTACGGTTTTCATGATTTTGTGCAGACTTTTGTGAAGAATTCTCGCTGTCTTCCAAAGATTGATAGGAAATACTTGAGATCTACAAGTGTTTCCTATCATTTTCTAGAAACATTAGATGTGATGGAATGATTACATCACTATAGTGCATGCACTTTGCACATGGCATTTAATGAAAATGAAATAGAACTTAATATCATAAGTGATGTTGGTAGAATTATATATTTTGTACAATGTGTAATACTTCACGTCTATCTAGAACTTGAAAGTTTCATGGCCCTTTACTTTCCAGTGAATCAGATGTTGTTCTAATTGGAAACTTACGAACTCTTTGCCTCCTTAAATGACTATGAGTAGGTTCTAAGATCAGAGCTGTACAGCTCCACCCACTCCACCCCCTAGACTTCAGACATGGAAAGTTTAAAATTATGGAGCCACACAAACCTTTTGTGTTTAGCAATAATAGATATCTGCAACGGAGCACCAAATGGCTTTTTAGCTAGCATAAAATGTTTTCAAATAATATTTGTACTTAGCAGATAGAAGGTTTTTCACTCCAAATGATTATAATACAGCATGTCTCTCACATTTTTTTTTTTCAAATTGGAGTTGTTTCAAAATGTTTAAAAATAATCGAGGATGACTTGTGCATTGTCTGTTGGGCTTGACAGTTTTGCAAGCTGGCAGCCAGGAACGGCCATTTGAACTTAAGATTCCATGAAACCGGAAATACCTTTGTTAAATGCTAATATTTCCTGAACTGTTTCTTATGAATGTTTAATTTTCATTTCACCAAATTCAAAGGTTTCTTGAAGATGACCAAATCTTATATGACCAATTTCCAGACTGATATTGCGTAGCTACTTCAAGTTTTCAATAGCACGCAGTTTTTGTTCCTTTTTTAAATTTGAGGTTGCATGTAAAGGCAGCTTGTTACTGACAGTAAATGATATAGGCAGATAATTTATGGCTTTTATCAATAGAAATTGAGCTTTATCAGATGATCTTTCCGATATCTGCAGACAAAAGATTTCTGGAGGGAAGCCCAAATCCTCTCAAAGCTTCATCACCCAAATGTAGTTGCTTTCTATGGGGTGGTTCCGGATGGAGGAGGTGGCTCGCTGGCTACTGTAACAGAATTCATGGTAAATGGGTCACTTAGGCATGTCCTGCTACGGAAGGATAGGTGAACCAACTTTGAATTCTCTTGCAATAGTTTATCTTTATTTCAACGTGCGGTTATAACCAATGGAATTATTTTTGCAGGACACTCGATCATCGTAGAAAGCTTATGATAGCCATGGATGCAGCTTTTGGGATGGAATACTTGCATTCCAAGAATATTGTCCATTTTGATTTGAAGTGTGACAATTTATTAGTTAACTTGAGAGATTCTCAAAGACCGATATGCAAGGTACATGTTTCTGCAATTATTAGTAATTATGTTTTATGATTTGATGAAATTTAATTATTCCTTCTGAGATTTCCAAAGGAACGTGCTTTTTAATGCCGCTTTACTTTGCTTTGGCTTTGCAAAAAAACTCTTGTGTTTCTAATGCTAATCTGAAATAAATCTACGGTAATTCAAAACATAAAAAAAATTGTATTACAAGACATCCATTTTAAATTTTGAATTTGAATCTTGAATTTTTAATTTTATGTCTTCAGTTTTGATTGTAATTTGTTAATTTAGTCAGTTGGAGTTTGTATTTCCATACCTATGATGTTAACCTATTCATAGGGTCGGTGTTTTTTTAAAGCAAATTTTATAATTATCCAGTGGGATGAGTGCAAGGTGAAACCATTACAAGGAATGGCTAGATGATAATGTAAAAAAATAAAAATCATAATTAAAGATAGTATAATAACATTGGAGAAAGTGTCCATTTGATGAATGAGAAAATTCGCAATGACTCTTTTTTATAGTGCCTTGCTTGTAGCCTGGCAGACCTTAGTGAGTAACTATAATTTTTTTCCAATTCCTGTTCCTCTTTATGAGCAGGATTTGAAATCTCCTATCTTATTATGCGTCGATACTCCAAATACTGCCACAAAATCATAAAGCTACTCAAATTTTGGGTCATCATTTTTCAGAAAGCTGTTTTTTTAAGCAAATATTATAACTAAATAATTATATGAATATATTAAGGGTGATTATTAGGAATTGTCTAAGAAAAAAAGTACACAAGCCAAGATAAATTGATAACCTAGGATGCCAAAGCCTTAGGCACTTGTAAACTACCCAAAAAAAAAAACTCATTTAGACTGCCTTGCTTTATGCATGATAATATGAGAGTTTTGATAGTTTTTTTTTAGTTTCTACCTCGCATGGTAAATAGAATTACAAAGCTCCTATCCACTAGAGAGTCAACACTGTATGTGCTCTCATCTGAGTCATAAGGCTACTGATCATTGTTGTGTTCATAAATTGGAGGAAAGTAATCTATTGCAGTAATAGGTGGCTTATGATCAATAGTGATGCTTGTCGGCGTAGAAGTGGCAACCACATATTGAGAAACCATTTATATAGTAAGTCTATCAAGATAAAAGTCTGTGATAGTCTAACATAGCGAGGGTCTATGAGCCTAACAACATGACCACCAATTAAATGTAAAATAGACATAAATTTATGGATAGAAAAATCGTGAAACCTAAGGGCATCTCCAACCGAACGGCAAACACTTGTTTGCCGTTCTCGCTTTGCTCCAACCGATCGCCATTTTTGCCGCCATTTGATCGCGGATGAACAGTGTGACGCCAATATTGGCGTTGCACTGTTCATCTCCGCCATTTTTTTTCTCTCTACCGAACCGGAAGAAAGGCGCCAAAGCGACGGTTAAGCGCAAAATGGAGTTCGATTGTAGATGAAACACGGCATTTTTTGATTTCGCTGTATTTTGGAGTGAAAAATGAGATTCTCGGTTGGAGATGCCCTAACACGATCTGAGATCTTCTTGTTAGCAAAGATAAGAGCAGGTTTGCCTTGACACTTGGTTAAACACTTATGAGAAGGTGAAATTGGATTTTAATGAAAAAAATAAAGGGAATTTGTTTGATTGAGAGGAATGAAATATTGAATCATTCGACCTGCCAACAACATTTGTAAATGAATAAGACGGGTGGGTTGTTGGAGTCATAGAAAATAGAGTAAATAGGAGTTTTTGTGAAGAAAGGAGTTATCGGGAGTGGCAGGGGATGACCTAATTGAGTGTTCAAACAATATCCCAGAAGCAGCCAACGTGGGGGAAAGTGGAGGTGGGATCTATTGAAAAATTAGCGGCAAAAGGGAAGAAGAACCCAACTCAAAAGTCGGAATGACAATTGTAACACTATCCATAACCAAAGGAAGTGAATGAGTATGACAGCAGATGTGAGATCAAGAGCAAAAATGCATATAAGTTGAGGAAGTGGCTGAAAGCAACATAAGGTCCGTAGGTGTAGGAGGGGATCAAGAGCTAAAGCTCTATAACACTTACCCAACTACAAGAGTAGGAATACTCGAATACCTATGCCATGAGTCATCGTCATCAGAGAACTGGAAAGCACATGTGGCTCATGCGGCTAGGATTGCAGATGAAAACCAAGGGGAGATGGAGCAAGAGTGCAAACAAGCAAATGAGCAAGCTCGTTTGAGCGTGATCTAGTGCGGCTGAGCATAGAGTCCTAAGCTTGATTGACTAAGTCTTAAAAGGACGATGCTGAGGTGATGCTTTGTTTTATGGTTATTACATGGACTTAATCTAAAGCTACTTGGTGCCCTTGATACCCTTATGCTATATTCAATCGAGAATTTTGTTAGATTAATTTTGCTTCAGTTGGATTGTGTGGCTCAACCTGAATTGATTTGATCAATTCTATTTCACTCAAGTAAGTCAAAATAAACCATGGAGTCTAGAGACTTTTCGATCTTTAAATTTATGGTCAATTATAAGAAAGATAGGCGAAGAGGAGGATAAAAAAAATCCTGCCAAATTGAGCAAAATCAATTAATTGGCATTATTATCAACGTTTTAAAAGGCAAAATCGGGAATCGAGGCGTTTTGGCTAAGCGAGGCGTAAGCCTCGAGGTGGATCGAGGCGTAAGCCTAAAAAATGATAAAAATAAAGTAATTTAAAATTATGAATAATGAAAAAAAATAATAAAATATTATGTCAATTGTGAATTTGATGATTTGTTCTAAGATAATATTAGTATATTACTGGAAAAGAAGATTTAAAATAAACTCACTTAAAAATAAAACATCCCTTTAGGATCAATACCCAATGCAGGCTCATCATCACTTTGATTGTCTTCAGAAGAATCTTCATAATTAATATCAAAGTCATCATCAAACTCTTCTTCATCTATAATAATTTTTCCTTTATTCCCTATATAAGTTAATATTTCATTAGCTCTAGAATGAAACAATAGTAGCATAAAAAATAATTCATTATATTTAAGAATACCTTTGAATTTTTTTTAAAGTTCCAATCTCATTTTGTTTCTTTCTTTTATATACATGAGTAGTTGCTTCACTGTCATAATTGACATTAGTTTCTCCTTATGCTTCAACTTCAGAAATATCAACATTCTTTGGAGTAACCCATTCATTATCAGATTGTAAATCATTAAAAAGTAAATGGTCAATTTTATTATCAATGCTTCATTGCTTTTGTAATTTGAGATGTCTATTTTTCAGTTTTTTGTTAAACATAACATAAACAAGTTTGTTCATTCGATTTGTCGCCAATCAATTTCTTCTCTTAGTATGAATTTGATTGAAGATGCTCCAATTGCGCTCGCATGCAGAAGCCGAATATGTTAGGCTAAGAACTTTAACTGCAAAAGCTTTCAATTCAGGAACATCATCTCCAAATTGACTCCACTAACATTCTACATGAAAATGAATAGTATTTTATGAATATTGATTGAAGTAGAAGACTTGAACATAAATATTAAAATTAAAATTATAAATATACAAATTATAAACATACCTGGAGATCGTGTTTTGTAGCATGCTTGTGCTGCTCTAAATCCAAACATTCCCTTCTTCAAATGGAATTCCTCAAGTTGATTATTCACTTTGAGATAGTCTTATTCAGAAATGAGTCTGTCCATACATGCATACAAATCAGTTTTCACCTCTTTATCAACATGAAATTCTTTATCATAATGAAATTGAGGGTTTAAATAGTATGCAGCAGCATGTAAGTGTTGGTGTAGTTGACAACCCCACTTTTCATCTATAATATCTCATATTTCTTTGTAGGCACTTTCTTGACCTCCCAAATCTTTTGCAATGTCTTCTTTAGTCTTATTCATTGCTTCATAAATAAATCTCATAGCCGGGGCCCTCTCACCATCAACCATTCTGAGCACCTTAACTAATGGTGTTGCTGTCTTCAAAGCATAATTTGTATTGCGCCAAAATGAATCATATTTTATAACAATTTTTTTTACCTGTTTTCCTTCTTGTTTTTTTGCCCATGAACTTTTATCCCATTATTCAGAAGCAAACATAGCTTCTAAAGGTTGCATTAACTCCTTGAATCTCTGCAATGTTAAATATGCAGTAGCAAATCTCGTAAAAACAGGTCTAATAATTTCCTTATCAATGAATTTTCTCATCAAATTGAGTATCCAAGAATGATTGTATATGAACTTACTAACGAATTTGGCCTTCAATAAGTCTGATTTATGCTGAGGCAACTGTCCCAACCTCTCAAGCATTAAATCAATTCAATGTGCAGCACAAGGAATTCAATAAAGGTGAGGGATCTTCTCCATTAACAGATTTATTATGGTGTTTGACTATCCTTTAATGTGTCTTAATCATAACCCAGCCTACCCAAGTGGCTTTTACCAACTCAAGTCAAGTGGATTTTTAAATACTAACTTCAAGATTTCAAGATTAAGCTTAACTTATTGGCCTAAGTTAAATTAGATGCATGCAATTGTACCAGGCTAGCTCATGGCTAATTGAGTTGATTAGCTAATATATGGTTTGATCTATGGTCTTATGACAAATCAATTGAGTTCACCTCAATTTTAATTAAATGATCATTAAAGAAATTTAGTTGTGTGATGTAGGATGCAACTCATTCTAGTTTAAGAGCTTAAATTCAAACTCAAAGGCTAAACTTGTTGGATTGGATCAAGATCCACCCAAGTGCATCTTTATTCGATTGGAATCAAGTAAGAGGATAACATGAACTGCTCTACATAGTACACAACTACACACCACTTTCCATGCTCTCACACTTAATCCCACACTATGAAGATGAAATGAGATGGTCCTCATTCTATTCTATGTATAGTAAGTGCCTTTAAGCTGCGAAAATGATAAGTGATACCTAAACAAAGATTTTTCATTCGTCTCTCATCATCTCATATGAATGTGATAAGAAACACTTGAAGAACTTAAGTGGAACCTA